AATCACAAATCCTAAAGAAACCAATAGCCACAAAACACTGCTATCCACGTTACAAAGCCCCTGTAACCCCTCTCCCCCCTCCCTCTGAAACCCCCCACCCTCTGTAACCCCCCACCCTCTGAAACCCCCTCCCTCTGTAACCCCCTCCCTCTGCAACCCCCTCCCTCTGTAACCCCCTCCCTCTGTAACCCCCACCCTCTGTAACCCCCACCCTCTGTAACCCCCTCCCACTGTAACCCCCACCCTCTGTAACCCCCCACCCTCTGTAACCCCCTCCCTCTGCAACCCCCTCCCTCTGCAACCCCCTCCCTCTGTAACCCCCACCCTCTGTAACCCCCTCCCTCTGTAACCCCCTACCCGCTGTATTCTCCCTCCAACTGTAGCACATTCCTCCTGTAACACTGAATGCATTTACATTTATTAATGAAAATGATAATATTAACAGTTTATAATGATCATTATAATTTTAAGCAGTGTAATATCATAGGGCAAGGTCCCTTTACACTCCTCCCTCCTCCCTCTGGTAGCTCCTCACCCCTACACCTCACCCCTAACACCTCACCACAACCCCTCTCCCCTCACCCCTCACCACAACCCCTCACCACAACCCCTCTCCCCTCACCCCTCACCACAACCCCTCACCACAACCCCAACACCTTCCCTCCCGTATAGATGATCTTCAACATAACTCAGAGCGGCTCTCCGGACGTCACAAGGTTTCTCCATTGCATATTTTTTAGGATGTTTCAGATCGTGAAATTAGGTTGTCAGTCGTGAGGGAACCTCACAAGAGCCCCGCCATTGAAGTTGGTGAGCGGCGGGGGAAGTTGCTCGTCTTGAACCACCACTACCACCACCACCACCTCTACTACCACCACTACCATCACTACCACCACTATCACCACCTTCACACCACCTCCACACTACCACCACCACCACCTGCTACCACCATGTAATATTGCCATCACCACCACCAACATCCATAACCACCCCATCACCACAATTGCCCATCGCCACCATCTACCACCATCATCCATGGATTGTTGTAGCAACATGCTCTATATATCCAACCCAGGTAGTATATGGAGCGTCCCAGGCTGAATGATATACCTGAGAGAGGAACAGCTTCAGTGACAAATACTTTGGTCTTTGGTCTTTGGTTATCTTTGATCCAATAACCGTGTCCTGCCTACCAACTAGCCTGGCGGTCAACATTAAGAACATCTCCTTTGCACGTTAAAGTCGGACCATTGATATCTTTCCGTTGATAACCTCTCTTCTGAAATGAAAAGTTCAGTCAAGACGTCGAGACTTTGTTCCAAGACATCACTGTGGCTTCCTACTTTCTCTAGAAGTCATAGGACTGAAGACACTCGAAACGGGAGTGATACGCACTCAAGGGGTGACCAAACTTTTGTCTCGACACTTTTACTTCTACTGAAGTCACAAAAGTATGAAAAGTGCATTAATACTGAATGTTTCTTGGCTTCCTTTCTGGCAAGGCACAGCAAGAGTCTTCATTTTCATTTTAGACTGCTTGTGGCCTACTGCTGGGGCCTCTGGTTGTGGATAATAATAATACTAATAATAATAATAATAATAATAATAATAATAATAATAATAATAATATTTTATTTAGGAAAAGTACATACATAGATGCAGAGTTACAAACATTCTGATTGATTTATAGATAGAGCTAGTACATACAGTACCTAAAGCCACCAGTTAGTGCTGGGACCTTTGCTTGTGGCCTAGTGCTGGGGAGTCTGGTTAAGGTTTAGTGCTTATTGCTTAGTGTTGACCTCGCTAACAAAAACAAAGCCATTTCACAGTGGCTGGGACAATGCTGGAGAAATCTTTGTACTTCAAATGATTCCATGAATAAATTTACAAGCACAACACTAATGGGAGACCCCAGTGTCATGCCGAATTGTTGACGATTGACAGCCAAAGAATTAATTATTGTCTGTGTACAGGCCGATAAGGGAAAGGTTGATAATAGAGGAATGTAGTTTGTTATTCAGTAAAACGTTCAACAAATAACCAGTGTAAGAAAAGTTTGATGACTGTGAAGACCTGAATAAGTTACAATCTCTGCAGCAGAGCCCTGAACAACACTTTACTTTGGTACAAGTATATACATCACCAAAACTTCAACACGGACATTATAAATTATATTATAGATACAGTAACTCGCTCACATTTTATGAATGATTGCATACAAGGCATTTCGATCGTCTCACTGCTTGGTCCTATTAAACCTACCACAGTGAAATGTTTCATTAAAGTGTTAAATAGCCTTGATAAAGGTTAGAATATCAGAGCTGCATCGGCACATAAAGGGACCGAGTACTGTTATCATGGACACAGTATAAGATATGTCCATTTACCACTGCCACCATCGATGATTGTGGCTTAAACCTCATTGACGGATTTTTTATTTGTTGCCACCAGAGGCGGCTAGTTTATTGTGCACCCCATACTCATCCTGTGAGCGGTAGCGCAAAAAGCATTACAGAGGGCACAAAAGGTCTCTATCAGACCTCATCTTAGATTATTACATAAACATTTTCTTATATCCATCACACCTTATAGTTACAATGTGCTAGTTACAGAGAAAGTGCTATTTCAATACCTATATATTTACAGTAAGTCATTATACATTAATGGTAGGTCTTATCACTAATACATAATAGTTTGACCAATGGAGATATTACAGAGTCATAGGGGAGCTTTTGTTTATTTTTAGTCTTCACAATACGCAACTTATTTCTGAATCTCATATGTCGTTTATCTACTGGGATCGAAATATGGATACAGTGCAAGGATTTCAGGTAATTTATCCATGGTAATAAGATAGGTTGCCATATCATACAGAGTGAGCTTAGATTTATCTCTAAATTGCTCAATTTAACTACAAGCCAAGATATAGTGTTCGAGTGTGTGTCCTTATCTTTGTCCACACACTCTACACTTTACTTGACGGTCTGACCACCTACCCTGTACTCGCCTAGTGCCCCCCCACCTGTGTGATGAACTGACCAGTGACCACCTTTTCATTTTGAGGAACTAAATACGCGGAGTTTCTGATACATTTGGCCAGTTACATTCAACGTGTTTTAGCATAATGAAACAATCGATTGGCCACAAATTTATTTTAAATTATACTTTATTTGTTAAACAAATACACCTTGTCATAAAACTATATCATGAATCCCAATTTTGTTAAATGAGCAAAGTATTTCAGCTTTTCAAGCGAGATATTTCTTATCAAGCTGCCTCGAAGCAGTATGGATTTTGATTGTTGCCACCGGAGGCGGCTATTTTATTGTGCACCCCATACCCATCCTGTGAGCGATAGCGCAAAAAGAATTACAGAGGGCAGAAAAGGTCTTTATCAAACCTCAACGGGGATTATTACACTAACAATTTCATCTATCCTTAACGCCTTATAATTACAGTGTCAGCTAGTTACAGAGAATGTTCTATTTCAAGAGCTATATATTTACAGTAAATCATTATACATTAATGGTAGGTCTTATCTCTAATCCATAATTGTTTGAGCTATGTTATTTTATTATTAACATCTTTATTGACAAATTAATTACAATTTTACCTAATCTGTGAATTCAATTAAGTTTTGTTAAAATGAGGATAATGCTGGTATTCACTGTCACGCAGGACAGAGGGTCATACACAAGACAATAGGTCTAAACTGTAAGCAGAAGTACATGTATATCATGGGTTACAATCAATGTTTTAATGTATGAATATGTAAAAAACAACTTTCTATTGTGCACTGCCACACAAGGGCAGGGATGGGTTCACAAGTGATCCAGCTTAGAAATAATGTAAATAAAATTGTTCTTCATTTTTTAATATGATTTTTTAATATGGACAAGCAAATTTTGGATAAATTTTTAGGATGTCGTCCAGAACACCCGAGTCAATGAAATAGTTGCACAGTTGATGGTACAATAGGCCAGGAGGTCTAAAATCTTTTACGGTTTCACATTCAACAATATAGTGTTCTAGTAAATGCATTAAAGGTTTATCACAAAGTTTACAATCTGAATATTCTGGTAGTGGCTCAGCCTCACTAACCTGCCAGATGTGTCTATAGCCAAGGCGAATTACCACAATGACATCACATTGCCTGGTCCGGTTACTGTGCTGACCATACAAATACCTATTATTACAGAAGTTGTCATAGCTTTTAATGCTGCAGCTTCCAGGTCTCTGGGCATTTCTTAGTTCTTCTAAATCTGAATTAATTTCTTTAATTTATATGTTTCTAATAATTGCATTAGATAGTCCAAAGTCATAATCAGTGTTTTCTTTCCTGCAAGCCTCATTGGCCAATCGATCTACAAAGTCATGTTTTCCAACTCCAACATGGGATGGGATCCACACAAATTTTATACAATAGTTATTATCATTGGCGAAAATTACATTCCATTTAATATTACAAGCTACTTCCGACATACATTGTGATGTATGTTTAATTTGTATTTAAGGACTGCAGAGCACTTTTAGTCACAGAATATCACTCGACCTTTGAGCTTAAGGTATTCAGTGGCTAGATAAATACCCAATAGCTCAGTCTGTGTCGTGCTTGCCCAGTTGTTCAATCCCTGTGTACTAGACATGATCATTTCATTCCCTTTATATACTGCACATGCACAACCTGTTCTACCAGTCCCTAATTACACAGAGCCATCAGTAAAGGCATAAGATTCAGTTGGTTTGAGATTTTGAAGATGACTGTCAATAGCTTCTAATGTTATGCATCTCATAGTTTCAGTGTTATACATTTGTTTTACACTTATGGAGATATTACAGTCATAGGGGAAGCTGCTGTTTGTTATTATTAGTCTTCACAATACACTACTTGTTTCTTAATCTCATATGTCGTATATCTACTGAAAACGAAATATGGATACAGTGCAAGGATTTCAGTAATTTTATCCTTAGTAATAAGATGGTTTGCCATTTCATTCAACGTGAGTTTAGATTTATCTCTAAATGGCTCAGTTTTACTAGCCCAAGATATAATGTTCGAGTGTGTGTGTTCCTGTCTTTGTCCACACACTTTGCACTTTACTTCATCTGCATCCCTATACAAGCCGACTTGCCAGAGATACCTGTAGCTTAGTCTTATGCAAGCTGTGACAACGTCTGTTAGTCTGTTGATGTTGTTACTTGTTCTAAATGCGTGTAGAGTTCCTCGTAGTCCGGGCCTACCGCCTCCTTGACTCTGCTGAGGTACTCCAGGATGGGTTGGGACAGCTGGTAGCCACCTGCCGAGGGCTGCTCGAATTCACAGGCGGCCAGCAGATCAGCAATAGTTATGTTCTGCCCAGTAATGAATGGTTTAGAGCCCAGAAAGTAACTTGCGAATTGTGTTTCAACTTGTCCTAATTTGTGCTCGTGCTTGTTGACCACATTCATGTCAGGCTCACTCTTCTTCAGGATGGGCACTATAATCTAGAAAAACAAATATATATAAATAAAAATTTCCGATTTATATATATATATATATATATATATATATATATATATATATATATATATATATATATATATATATATATAATATAGTATATAATATAATATGTGTGTGTGTAAATCACGAAAATTAACACGTGATGAAAAATGTGACAGTGTCAGACCACGGAGGAAGGATTGGAAAAGGAATTTCCTTAAGTACTTTCGTATTTAATAATACATCTTCATCTGAAGGTGTATTATTAAATACGAAAGTACTTAAGGAAATTCCTGTTTCAATCCTTTCTTCGTGGTCTGACGCTGTCATATATAATCTATATAAATAAAAATGTAAATAATCGTTAGTTCAAAATCGGTAATCTTCGAAAGTTCTTCACCGATTGCTTTGAAATTTTGACACAACGTTCCATTTGCACATGAGCGTGTTTTTATATACCTACTATATAGATGTCACGTCTGTGACAGGTAAAAACCTGTTATTATTTTTTTTTATATGTCATCCATTACACGTAAAAGCAACACACGCTATACTAAATATGTTACGATTCCATTTCAATGTTTCCGATTGCACTGATAAATTGAATTTTCATAGATTTTGATTTATTTTCAGTTTGATTATATTTATGTGACATTGCGTTGGAATTGAGCTGTGTTGTTTACCATAACGTTCATTTCGTGAGTATAGTTTTTTTCATTTTTTCATTTCTTTTTTTACTGTGATGGGAACATCAGATCATTTGATGTTCCCATTTTTCTGATGGGAACATCAGATCATTTGAGAACGCATCGGACGAGGGAGTGGGGAATGGTGGGGAGGACGAGGGGACGAGGGAGTGGGGAAATGGTGGGGAGGACGGGAGGCGGGGGAGTAGGGAATGGTGGGGACGAGGGTATGGGGGATAGTGGGATGGATGAGGGGTCGAGGAGGGGGGAATGAAGGGAGGGCGGGGGAGTGAGAAATGGTTGGGAGGATATGGGGACGGGTGAAGGGGGAATGGGGGAAAAGAAGAGGGTTGCTGTCGCGTTGCTGAGCCACAGCAATGCATGACCGGGTACAGCTAGTATATAATTATATATAATTATGTATATTTAATATATATTATATACATTTATATATAATTAGTCAAACAAATGTTGACTTCCAGCATTAAAATACTGTTGTTTATTATTGCAACTGAAGAAGACAAGAGAGCCGTGCCTTGTTACAGAAGTACCCCACGCCATGGGCCCTGGTGTTGAGGTGCTGCCAGTCCAGGTATTCGTCCACCTTACACCTCGCCTTCAGCTCCTTCGGGTACCACTTTCCTGAAGAGTCGTACTTGCTCGCGATGTACCGCAACCCCGTACAGCTGAACGGAAATAAAAGTGTGGGTTTTATTTTTACAACAATTGCGGGTCGGGGTTGGTGGGGTTTTGCTCTGTGTTGGGAGGAGGCTGGTGGTCGATGTTGTTATGTTTTGGTGTGTTTAATGAGTTAGTGTTGTGCTGAGAGGAAGGGGGTGATTTTTTGAGGAGCAGATTAGAGATGTGTTGCTGAGAGAGGCAGTGCAACTCTTCATATTATGAGAGGCAGGGATGGAAGGTTTTGTATTGTGTCGGCAGGCATAGGTGCTAGGTTTTGTATTGTGTCGGCAGGCATAGGTGCTAGGTTTTGTGATGTGTTGAGTTGCAGGCATAATGAGTGTGTGATGAGCTGTGTATCACAGGTAATGGGTGTTGTTATATACTGGGAGGCAGGATTATCTACTGGGAGGCAGGGAGATGAATTGAGAGGCAGGGTACGAAACTAGAAGTAGAGGGTATTTTCTACAGAGGCCGTAGGAGGCGTGAGACTCACCTCTCCAGGATAAGGACGTCTCCGTCCTGCACCACAGGGACCTTCCTGAAGGGGTTCAGGTCGGTGAACGGCTTCTTCAGATGATCTCCTGGAGACATGACGTCATTTATTTGTAATGTATTTTATATATTTATTTATATATACACAAAGAGACACACAGATTTGTGTGAGAAGATAGTATTGATGATTTTTCGTTCTTGTAAAGCCACTAACTCGCACAGCGTTTAGGGCAGGAACTTAATCTAACAGATAAATTTAGGTAGGTAATTTGTAGCAAAATTTAAAAATGTTAACAGGTACATTGTAAGAAAATTTGTAGAAATTACTAGGTACAATACATTAAAATTTGAGGATTATCACCAGGTACATTGTAACATTATTTGAGGATTATTTCTAGTTACACTGTAGTAAAATTTGTATTCAACATAACCATGATATAAGATGGCAGTTAATACAACGGTAAAATTGTATGGCTTAGGCACTTTTTTTTTTTTTGGGGGGGGAGGTTATTTACGTTATTGTTATTTGAGATGAAAGACGCCAGCGTGTCTTGTTTTAACTAGAAAAATCATTCATAATAATTTGCAGCAAAACACTCCATATTTCCCTCCCATCACCTGGCGACACATTGAGTGGAGACGGGAGTTTATTGGAATCACATCAAAACGTAACATCACTTAGAGAATTAAGCGTTTCGTCCAGATATATGGTTGTTCTGTAGGCAAGACTGATGTTACACGTCGGCAAGGGTGACAACTTGACACCATTATAGGGTAATTCTATCTGAGTGAGCAGTCAATATAAGCTGCGTCAGTTGATAAGTCTGGTTAAAGCCAGCAGTGGATGGGTGATCGCTTGGACAGCCTTACCATGGCTGGGAATACCACAAAAACATGTTCTCGGCTCCACAACAATAACGAACCATAAAATATTGCTGAAGCCGGTTTTCTGTTACGTTTATTGCAAAAAGATATGTGAATTCAGACTCAATTAGATAACAAATGTTCAAGATATGTGTAAATATTAAATTGAAAATGATCTCCTGCCAGACGTCTTAGCCAAGATATCCCCAGTTTGCTAAATTTAGGTAGTAACCTTTTCACCACTGCCAACTGGATGGGGGGCGGTGTGCAGGATAAAAATATACATTGCGACACAAACTCTCCACCTGTGTCAGTTCCTTAAATTAGAAACTGTACTTGTGGTCGGTCTCGAGCCCATTGTTAATGTGACGATGTGTATTGAATTTTGTAATTATCTCACTATGATTGTAACTTGCTTCTTGAGGTTATCTTGAGATGATTTCGGGGCCTAGCGTCCCCGCGGCCCGGTCCTCGACCAGGCCTCCTTTTTGTTACACACCCCCAGGAAGCAGCCCGTAGCAGCTGTCTAACTCCCAGGTACATATTTACTGCTAGGTAACAGGGGCATCAGGGTGAAACAAACGTTTTGCCCATTTGTCTCCGCCTCCACCGGGGATCGAACCCGGAACCTCAGGACTACAAATCCGAAGCGCTGTCCACTCAGCTTTCAGGCGCCCTGGCAGCTGTGCTTAGCTAAAGCCCGAGGTCTCTCCACGTTAGATCCCGGGAGAGACTCGCTACTCTTAAGCTGACGGAAAACTTTCTAATATCTAAATGTTAATTCTAACATCTATTTCTCAAGCCTTCATCCTTGCCATCTTCTTTTATTGGTATTAATTTGGATGTAAGAAAGTTTTCTTTCAGCATAAGAATAATGAGTAAATGGAATGAATTAAATGAGGAAATTGTAGAAGCGAACACCATTTACAATTTCAAATGAAAATATGATAAGGCATTGCATTAGACAACCACTGCCAAGAAAGTCCCTCTCCAAGAGATTAAGCGCGTTTCTGTAGTCACAAATACATGAGTACAATTTAGTGAGTATACAAATTACACGAACCTGCAGCTCATAACACCGAAATTTACAAAACGGTGTTGTTTACCAGCACAATTGACGTTTCTTGGCCACTTACATAACCTTTGTAGTATATTGGGTATGTGCCAATCCTCTCTCTGTCACGAAGTGTCAGCAATTAGATATATCTTACCTTGCAATAGCCTAATGTATTTTTCCTGGTGTGGGGCGTTGATTGCCCTGCACAGGAGCAAGAGAGCTCTGGCAGGCTGTGATATGTAGTCCACATACAGTGTCAAAGTAGCAGTCATTTTGTGGACGGTGTGTTACCAACGAGAGCACAGCTCCGAGTCCTCTATGCCCCAAGCCCAGCAGCTAATGTGACTGGGAGAACTTAGTGTTCCCACTTAAATATGAGAATAGAATGCACGTTTTCTTTTATACTCAGCATTGCAGTGCGTTTTCCTCTATTTTCGCGTAATCTAGTAGAAATTGACTTATTGCTAGGTAAATAAAGTTATCAGATAAAAGTAAAGGATATCGATAGTACAGTTGGGTTCATTTTCGGTTCAGTTGAGAATCCAAGGTTCGATTCATGGGCGGGACAGAGAGACGGTTAAGCACCAGACAGATTCACATAATACGGCTGTTCACCTATCAGTTAACAGGTGCCCCGAAGTTAGTCAATTGTTGTAGAGTTACATCCTGGAGGTCAGTAGTTCCCCCTTGGAAGGGGGGGGGCGGGGGTTGTGTTCTGCTGCAGAAAATTATCTTCTGCTTCACCGCGGCCCCGTGCTGTAACTACATAATTAATAATTCATTGTGTCGGGGGACAGGAAGCCGGGGTGTATTCATACAGTTAGGCTTACATCGAGTTTCCCACCCACCCACCCCCCCCCCCCCTCACCGAGGTAGAATTACTGACCCCTCCCAGGATGCCTCCCCACAACATGCTAACTGCTAAGTACGTACTAATTGCTAGGTTAACAGGTCCATTAGGTGAAAGGAAATGTGCCCAACCATTTCTGGCCCGACCGGGATTCAAACCCGGAATTCTCAATTCCGGAATCGAGAATTAGTCGGGTTCGAGGTCGAACCCGATTAATTCTTTACGCCTTTAGGTACGCCTTTAACCCACTGCACCACAATTCAGACCCTTAAAAAGATGGTAATTTCGGGGTATTTAAACCCCCCAAAGATCACCCCCTCCCAAGGGCAACTAGAGTTAGTGAATTCTACTCACGTTCTTTCATCAAATTCCTGTTAATATGGGAGAACTCTGTGTCTATGCTTAATGAACAACTTGCCTAAACACGTAAGAGAAGTTATACAACCTTAGAACACTTTCCCACCAGGAGATTCGAACCCTAGCCAGCACAAAAGCCTTACAGCAACTGGCATAACTGGTACACCTTTAACCCACTGCACCACAACTCAGACCCTTAAAAGAGATGGTAATTTCGGGGTATTTAAACCCCCCAAAGATCACCACCTCCCAAGTGTTAGTCAGCTGTCACGGGCTGCTTCCTGGGGGTGGAGGCTTAGTCGAGGACCGGGCCGCGGGGACACTAAAGCCCCGAAATCATCTCAAGATAACGCTACATGTCGTCCTCCAACAGCTTCCCCCACACGCCGATCACGTAGCTTTCTCTCAAACTCTTCACCATGGGCTACACACTTCCTTCTTCATAGGAGGCAACGACGTACGCCAATCCCTGTCGGCTCTTACGACTCAAGTGAGTCTTAAGACCTCTGCCCACGTCACGTATCGTAACATACTGTCGACATCTTATCTTGCCTCATTTTCTTAAGATGCTTGCCCTCTGCTTTCCTTCTCAGTTATCCAGGTACCTCATTAGGGTACCTGGGGTTCATAACAACGCATATAGTAGTAACACCCAGGAAAATAGTCAATAAATTCATTAGGATACTGTTACGACCATGGGCCCAATATTGCTCTGTGACAAACGGGCTCAGGATCGTTTAGTTTAGTTCATTTATTATGCACCCCATACCCATTTTGTGGGCGGTAGTGGAAAGGGTTACAGAGGCACATAATGGGCTCAGGAACTGAACCCCACAATTCATTTAGCTAAATAAGTTACAATCTTGATGAGCTAGTTACAAAATTCAGTACAAGTCGTCACATCATAAATACGGTCGAGATCGACCACAAGTACAGTTTCTAAATTAAGCAACTGACATATGTGGAGAGCTAGTGTCACAATTGATATGTTTGTCCTGCATACACGTATAGCAGTGTTTACATAGGAAATGGGGACCCTTCACTCATATAGGAATTTTAGTGTGATAAGCCCTAAATGTGGGGAGATTATTTGGTGAAAAGGTTTTAATAAATATATTATAAGATAGGGCAACCCGTTCTCGCAAATTCGTAAAGTCAATATTGACTTATTAACTACGTGCATAGGTGATATACTAAACATAATAGATACCCTTAAAAAGATTCATAGAAAACACCGACCTTACCTAACCTTGTTAGTATCTTAAGATAAGCATCTTATTGCTTCGTAATTACAATTATTACTTAACCTATACCTATTATAGGTTAGGTAATAATTGTAATTACGAAGCAATAAGATGCTTATCTTAACATACTAAGTAGGTTTGGTAAGGTCGGTGTTTTCTATGAAGCTTTTCAAGGGAAACTATTATGTTAAGTATGTCACCTATGCACATATTTAATAAGTCAATATTGACTTATTAAATTTGCGAGAACGGGTTGGATAGGGCTAGTCAGCGAGGTTTGGTTAAAGGAGGGTTAGTGTCTTCTTGTAATGCGCCAAGCCATTACTACTATTCAGCACTTGGAAGGGATCAGGATAGGGACTTGGTATATAGAAGCATTTTGATGTTCATAGGGTTAGGTGATCTGCTAATGACGACAGACCACACTTGAATCATTATTTTGTTGGGAACTATTTTCCTGGGGGCCGGGCCTATCCTAACCCCATTAAGTGGTACTGTACTGCTTACCTTGATTATTACCCTAGCTCAGACCCCTTATATAACACATACCATTACATGTTGGCATCTCAAGGCATGACACTGTTGATATGCTTGCAAAGACAGCCTGTAGAAAGCCAGTAGTAGAAATTGATATGGGTGTTTCATTAGCAGTAACCAAGAGAATACTTTAACAAATATCTAATGAAAATCTTACTGACCTAACAAATTTACAAAGACCTGAAAATTGTAACATTAAAATTATGATAAATATCGCGAGGAGACATTCATATAAGAAACTAATTGTGCAGGAACTCGACAATGTGATGTTATAGTGGCCAGAATACGCCTGTGATATAAACGTATCTGGCAGCTTTCTCAAAACCCACAAGTCGAATACACCATGTGTCAACTTTGTGAAAGAGAAAACATGCACTCCCTTGAACAATATATTGTAGAATGTCCCAAATTGACTGACTTTCGCCCTCCTGGGCTGAGTTATGCTGAACTCTGTAAATACTATATAAATACTGAAACACAATTAATTTTTTTTCTTTATTAGGCACCCCACACCCATCCCGTGAGCGGTGGTGTAAAGGGTTACAGAGGCACATAATAGGTTCAGGAACTGAACCCCCTAGTAGTTCGTTTGGCTAAGCAAATAACAATCTTTTGACGCTAGTTACACAACTATTAATGTTTTATATACTCGTACACATATCTATATATACATGTACATATATATACACATATACAATCACCTACACAAATACACACATCAGTAATCTTTTGTATCACAAGTGATTCAACAAGAGGCTCACAAGTCACTATACACGGCACTTTACATCTTTGGTGAGTCACACAGTTACTAGTCTTGCTCCGCACACACCCAACTGGGCGGCAGCTCTACAGTCATGTGCATGCATTACCTACAGTAAGCAAATTTTGGATACTTCGCTAAGATTCCTGACAGTACATCATTATGAATGAAGTACTTACACATTTCTTGGACTACATTGATGGTGTTATCTCTGAATTCCGCGATTTTTTTACATTCTATTATAAAATGATGCAAAGTATGCGAATAGTTCTGCTGACAGAGTTTACATTTAGTCAAATCTATATCAGCGGATGTTAAAAACTCCCAGAGGTACTTGTAGCCGAGCCTAAGCTTAGCAGTGGTAACGTCTAGAAGTCTGCTAACCTTGTTGGATGACCCATAGACGTGCGGTTCTTTTTGCATAATAGAATGATGATAGATGGAGGAACTAGTGTGAATTTCACTTTGCCTCAAGTCTACAAGATTTTGTTGATGTTCCCGGAATATTACTGCCCTCAGGCTGCTCAAAGGCAGTCCAAGATGGTAATCAATTCCCTCTTTATGAGCAAAAGTCTTGGCCAACTCATCAGTTCTATCAAGCATTCGGAGACCAATATGGGAAGGAATCAACAGGAGACAAACTCTAACTCCATCATTGATAACTTCATTATATTTGACAAGCTTCAGAGATAAGCACGTCAGTTATGCCTTGGGGAGCAGAGGGCAGTCAAGGATGACAAGAAGTCACTATTAACGTGTCATCTTTGGATTCATATACGCGCTCTAGTGCAAGGATTATGCCAACCAATTCTGTTTGAAGAGTGGAGGCCCAGTTACTTATACGCGCTCCACACTTATGGGAGAAGGAACCATGAGTGTGAACCATCTCTCTCTCTGTCACAACAACTGCACTTCCAGCTGCACCATGGGACTGGTGCAAGAATCCATCAGAGTAAATAATCAGGGAAAGGGAGCTCTCTCTGACCAAAGCATCAATTTGGCTTAAGGCATTGGAACACTTGATATATTGGACTTGTACCCAAGATTGACTATGTAATGCGTCAGTTATACAATATATGTGATGTAACTATAACCCGAGCTTCTAAAAGCATCTTAATCACCTTCAGCGGTTAAGTGGTTAATAAAGCACTTTTTTCAATAGTAGCTATCTTACCCTGTCAAAGTATTAGCATTATATATATATATATATATATATATATATATATATATATATATATATATATATATATATATATATATATATATATATATATAATAATAATAATAATAATAATAATAGAGAGAAATTGCATTTCACCTTTGTAAACGCACATTAATGACATTATGTAAAAAGAAACATCGAACACTGTTTATGTAGGGCAGACGTAAATCTGTGTACTTATTTATTTATGAATGAAGGTTAAATTAGCACTACAATCACCTTTTGTGGTTGATTGTTCAATAAATCACTGAACTATATGTTTCTCCTTGATGGGGGCCACGGGTTGTAGCACAGTGCTGTGAGCCCTCTGGTTGTAGCACAGTGCTGTGAGCCCTCTGGTTGTAGCACAGTGCTGTGAGCCCTCTGGTTGTAGCACAGTGCTGTGAGCCCTCTGGTTGTAGCACAATGCTGTGAGCCCTCTGGTTGTAGCACAGTGCTGTGAGCCCTCTGGTTGTAGCACAGTGCTGTGAGCCCTCTGGTTGTAGCACAGTGCTGTGAGCCCTCTGGTTGTAGCACAGTGCTGTGAGCCCTCTGGTTGTAGCACAGTGCTGTGAGCCCTCTGGTTGTAGCACAGTGCTGTGAGCCCTCTGGTTGTAGCACAGTGCTGTGAGCCCTCTGGTTGTAGCACAGTGCTGTGAGCCCTCTGGTTGTAGCACAGTGCTGTGAGCCCTCTGGTTGTAGCACAGTGCTGTGAGCCCTCTGGTTGTAGCACAGTGCTGGGGAATCTGGAAGTGGCCCCCGAAAACCTCCCAACTAGGTCTTACCAGATTGTCTCTATAGATATGGTTCCAAAATCGTATATTACGTAATATTATAGCAATGTGTAGGTCATCACATTATATTTCCCAGCTTTCTACAGAAACCACGGAGTGTGATGATGACCTCGCCAACATAAACAAAGTCATTTCAGTGCCTAGAACAATGCTGGAGAAATCTTTGTACTTCAAATGATTCCATGAATAAATTTACAAGCACAACACTAATGGGAGACCCCAGTGTCATGCCGAATTGTTGACGATTGACAGCCAAAGAATTAATTATTGTCTGTGTACAGGCCGATAAGGGAACGATTAGTATTAGAGGAATTTAGTTTGGCATTCAGTAAAATTTGTAATAAATAACCAGTGGAAGAAAACTTTGAGAGTCTAGGACGAGTTGCCAGACCTGAATAATTTGTAATCTCTGCAGCAGAGCCCTGAACAACACTTTACCTTGGTACATATATATATATATACCTGTCGTGTCTGCATGCTCCACAGCATCGCTGGTGACATTGGCTTTTTACCGCTAAATATGCAACAAAACGGGAGTCAGATCGAGCGCAGCTGCTCTCGTCAACAATCCACAGGCCAATGACACTAGACGCCAAGCGGCGGCGCCACTGAACCAACTCAGCAGCTCAACCGTCAGTTCTGTTTTAAACATTACCACTCAATACACTGAGTTTTACGTCCCTATTTACCCTCAAGCATACACAGATGCATTTAAGTATCACAAAATACAACACCCAGCATACAAAAATATCTATAAGTCTATAGGCATACAATAAAAAAGTCATATTACACAAAGATACAAACTAAGAATTTCCATCTTCAAGATTTGGCATTACTTTACCCGACCGGTAAGCAAAAGGCGAGATATAAAGAATTACCAAGTCAACCATTAATATATTAATATATAATTATACAGTAATACAAGTAAAGTATAATATACATGACATAATCATAAAACCTGCCTATTTGTATATCTCTCACAAAACGAGTGTAGCACTATTTACCAAGCCAGTAGGTATCAGCAACAGTAGTCTACTATCCTAACATTCTACTACAGAATATAACTATTAATATATAATAGTACATACAGCATTGATATATATGTCAAGTATATAAATAAGAAACACTATACTGTATACACATAATAGTATAGCAAGGTAATAGTAATATATATCAAACTAAGAGTGATACTAGGCTACACTGCCTTATATCACAATAAGGTATGATGACAGCATACACCAGTCATACTGGGGTATGTTGGATCATAATATCACCAAAACTTCAACACGGACATTATGACATTATAAATCGCAATTATAGATACAGTAACTCGCTCACAGTTTATGAATGGTTACATACAAGGCATTTTGATAGCCGCACTGCTTGGACCTATTATACTTACCATACTGAAATGCTACATTTCAGTCTTGAATAGCCTTGTTATTAAAGGGTAGAATATTAGAACTGCATCAGCACACAAGGGGACCGAGTACTGTTATCATGGATACAGTGTAAGACATGTCCATTTATCCTGCCATCATCAATGATTGTGGCTGCCACCCTCATTGATGGACTGACCACCTACCCATGACGGCTTATATTGAATTTTGTAACTAGCTCATCAAGATTGTAACTTGCTTAGCTAAATGAATTGTGGGGTTCAGTCCCTGAGCCCATTATGTGCCTCTGTAACCCTTTCCACTACCGCCCACAAGATGGGTATGGGGTGCATAATAAATGAACTAAACTAACACCTACCCTGTACTCACCAAATACCTCACCTGTGTAACGGTCTACCCAGTTATCATGTGTGACGGTCTAACTACCTATCATGTGTGACGGTCTAACTACCTATCCATTGTGACGGCCAGACCAGTAACCACCATCATCCCATTTTGACGACCCAAATGCGCGGATTTCCCGATACATTTGGCCAGTTACATTCCACGTGTTTTAGCATAATGAAACAATCGATAGGCCACAAATTTATTTTAAATTTTATTTTCTCAAAAAATGCATGTTATAAAACCAAAGTATGAATCCCAATTTTGCTAAATAAGCTAAATATTTTAGCTTTTCAAGCGAGCCGTTTCTGAGCAAGCTGCCTCGAAGCAGTATGGAGTTCATCGTAGTCCGGGCCTACCGCCTCCTTGACTCTGCTGAGGTACTCCAGGATGGGTTGGGACAGCTGGTAGCCACCTGCCGAGGGCTGCTCGAATTCACAGGCGGCCAGCAGATCAGCAATAGTTATGTTCTGCCCAGTAATGAATGGTTTAGAGCCCAGAAAGTAACTTGCAAATTGTGTTTCAACTTGTCCTAATTTGAGCTCGTGTTCGTTGACCACATTCATGTCAGGCTCACTCTTCTTCAGGATGGGCACTATAATCTAGAAAAACAAATGAATATAAATAAAAAAATTTGATATATATATGTCGTATCTAGTAGCCAGAACGCATTTCTCGGCCTACTATGCAAGGCCCGATTTGCCTAATAGCCCGAGTGATTTTCTTTATTTTCAATAAATTGTTTCCAATTACTTATTTGAATTATTATTATTATATTATATTAAGAACTTAAATTAGTGCCGGAGTTGTGTTAGTTTAGATTAGGTTTAGATAGGTTAGGTTAGGTAGGGTTGGTTAGGTTCAGTCATATATCTATGTTAGTTTTAACTCAAATTTAAACAAAGTAACTTATACATAATGAAATGGGCACATTTATCATTTCATAAGAAAAAAATTGAAAAATATATAAATTCAGGAAAACTTGGCTTATTAGGCAAATTCGGCCTTGCATAGTAGGCCGAGTACGACGTTCTGGCTACTAGGTATATATATATATATATATATATATATATATATATATATATATATATATATATATATATATATATATATATATATATATATATATATAATATAATATAAAATTTTACAAGTTTGACATCAAATTTGATGTCAGCAATACATCAATTTGCCAAAATTACACATGTTGAGGGGTCAATATGTTCTGATCAAAACACAGTCATCTATGTACTTAAACCAATTGAGATTTGCATGGTAAATTTAGGAAAAAATTATTTCCATTGAGAAAGGAAAATTCCATCAAAATGAGTTAAGCAAATGTTGATTTGCAGCATTAAAATACTATTGTTTATAGTTGCAACTGAAGAAGACAAGAGAGCCGTGCCTTGTTACAGAAGTACCCCACGCCATGGGCCCTGGTGTTGAGGTGCTGCCAGTCCAGGTATTCGTCCACCTTACACCTCGCCTTCAGCTCCTTCGGGTACCACTTTCCTGAAGAGTCGTACTTGCTCGCGATGTACCGCAACCCCGTACAGCTGAACGGAAATAAAAGTGTGGGTTTTATTTTTACAACAATTGCGGGTCGGGGTTGGTGGGGTTTTGCTCTGTGTTGGGAGGAGGCTGGTGGTCGATGTTGTTATGTTTTGGTGTGTTTAATGAGTTAGTGTTGTGCTGAGAGGAAGGGGGTGATTTTTTGAGGAGCAGATTAGAGATGTGTTGCTGAGAGAGGCAGTGCAACTCTTCATATTATGAGAGGCAGGGATGGAAGGTTTTGTATTGTGTCGGCAGGCATAGGTGCTAGGTTTTGTATTGTGTCGGCAGGCATAGGTGCTAGGTTTTGTGATGTGTTGAGTTGCAGGCATAATGAGTGTGTGATGAGCTGTGTATCACAGGTAATGGGTGTTGTTATATACTGGGAGGCAGGATTATGTACTGGGAGGCAGGGAGATGAATTGAGAGGCAGGGTACGAAACTAGAAGTAGAGGGTATTTTCTACAGAGGCCGTAGGAGGCGTGAGACTCACCTCTCCAGGATAAGGACGTCTCCGTCCTGCACCACAGGGACCTTCCTGAAGGGGTTCAGGTCGGTGAACGGCTTCTTCAGATGATCTCCTGGAGACATGACGTCATTTATTTGTAATGTATTTTATATATTTATTTATATATACACAAAGAGACACACAGATTTGTGTGAGAAGATAGTATTGATGATTTTTCGTTCTTGTAAAGCCACTAACTCGCACAGCGTTTAGGGCAGGAACTTAATCTAACAGATAAATTTAGGTAGGTAATTTGTAGCAAAATTTAAAAATGTTAACAGGTACATTGTAAGAAAATTTGTAGAAATTACTAGGTACAATACATTAAAATTTGAGGATTATCACCAGGTACATTGTAACATTATTTGAGGATTATTTCTAGTTACACTGTAGTAAAATTTGTATTCAACATAACCATGATATAAGATGGCAGTTAATACAACGGTAAAATTGTATGGCTTAGGCACTTTTTTTTTGGGGGGGGGGAGGTTATTTACGTTATTGTTATTTAAGATGAAAGACGCCAGCGTGTCTTGTTTTAACTAGAAAAATCATTCATAATAATTTGCAGCAAAACACTCCATAATTCCCTCCCATCACCTGGCGACACATTGAGTGGAGACGGGAGTTTATTGGAATCACATCAAAACGTAACATCACTTAGAGAATTAAGCGTTTCGTCCAGATATATGGTTGTTCTGTAGGCAAGACTGATGTTACACGTCGGCAAGGGTGACAACTTGACACCATTATAGGGTAATTCTATCTGAGTGAGCAGTCAATATAAGCTGCGTCAGTTGATAAGTCTGGTTAAAGCCAGCAGTGGATGGGTGATCGCTTGGACAGCCTTACCATGGCTGGGAATACCACAAAAACATGTTCTCGGCTCCACAACAATAACGAACCATAAAATATTGCTGAAGCCGGTTTTCTGTTACGTTTATTGCAAAAAGATATGTGAATTCAGACTCAATTAGATAACAAATGTTCAAGAGATGTGTAAATATTAAATTGAAAATGATCTCCTGCCAGACGTCTTAGCCAAGATATCCCCAGTTTGCTAAATTTAGGTAGTAACCTTTTCACCACTGCCAACTGGATGGGGGGCGGTGTGCAGGATAAAAATATACATTGCGACACAAACTCTCCACCTGTGTCAGTTCCTTAAATTAGAAACTGTACTTGTGGTCGGTCTCGAGCCCATTGTTAATGTGACGATGTGTATTGAATTTTGTAATTATCTCACTATGATTGTAACTTGCTTCTTGAGGTTAACTTGAGATGATTTCGGGGCCTAGCGTCCCCGCGGCCCGGTCCTCGACCAGGCCTCCTTTTTGTTACACACCCCCAGGAAGCAGCCCGTAGCAGCTGTCTAACTCCCAGGTACATATTTACTGCTAGGTAACAGGGGCATCAGGGTGAAACAAACGTTTTGCCCATTTGTCTCCGCCTCCACCGGGGATCGAACCCGGAACCTCAGGACTACAAATCCGAAGCGCTGTCCACTCAGCTTTCAGGCGCCCTGGCAGCTGTGCTTAGCTAAAGCCCGAGGTCTCTCCACGTTAGATCCCGGGAGAGACTCGCTACTCTTAAGCTGACGGAAAACTTTCTAATATCTAAATGTTAATTCTAACATCTATTTCTCAAGCCTTCATCCTTGCCATCTTCTTTTATTGGTATTAATTTGGATGTAAGAAAGTTTTCTTTCAGCATAAGAATAATGAGTAAATGGAATGAATTAAATGAGGAAATTGTAGAAGCGAACACCATTTACAATTTCAAATGAAAATATGATAAGGCATTGCATTAGACAACCACTGCCAAGAAAGTCCCTCTCCAAGAGATTAAGCGCGTTTCTGTAGTCACAAATACATGAGTACAATTTAGTGAGTATACAAATTACACGAACCTGCAGCTCATAACACCGAAATTTACAAAACGGTGTTGTTTACCAGCACAATTGACGTTTCTTGGCCACTTACATAACCTTTGTAGTATATTGGGTATGTGCCAATCCTCTCTCTGTCACGAAGTGTCAGCAATTAGATATATCTTACCTTGCAATAGCCTAATGTATTTTTCCTGGTGTGGGGCGTTGATTGCCCTGCACAGGAGCAAGAGAGCTCTGGCAGGCTGTGATATGTAGTCCACATACAGTGTCAAAGTAGCAGTCATTTTGTGGACGGTGTGTTACCAACGAGAGCACAGCTCCGAGTCCTCTATGCCCCAAGCCCAGCAGCTAATGTGACTGGGAGAACTTAGTGTTCCCACTTAAATATGAGAATAGAATGCACGTTTTCTTTTATACTCAGCATTGCAGTGCGTTTTCCTCTATTTTCGCGTAATCTAGTAGAAATTGACTTATTGCTAGGTAAATAAAGTTATCAGATAAAAGTAAAGGATATCGATAGTACAGTTGGGTTCATTTTCGGTTCAGTTGAGAATCCAAGGTTCGATTCATGGGCGGGACAGAGAGACGGTTAAGCACCAGACAGATTCACATAATACGGCTGTTCACCTATCAGTTAACAGGTGCCCCGAAGTTAGTCAATTGTTGTAGAGTTACATCCTGGAGGTCAGTTGTTCCCCCTTGGAAGGGGGGGGGCGGGGGTTGTGTTCTGCTGCAGAAAATTATCTTCTGCTTCACCGCGGCCCCGTGCTGTAACTACATAATTAATAATTCATTGTGTCGGGGGACAGGAAGCCGGGGTGTATTCATACAGTTAGGCTTACATCGAGTTTCCCACCCACCCACCCCCCCCCCCCCTCACCGAGGTAGAATTACTGACCCCTCCCAGGATGCCTCCCCACAACATGCTAACTGCTAAGTACGTACTAATTGCTAGGTTAACAGGTCCATTAGGTGAAAGGAAATGTGCCCAACCATTTCTGGCCCGACCGGGATTCAAACCCGGAATTCTCAATTCCGGAATCGAGAATTAGTCGGGTTCGAGGTCGAACCCGATTAATTCTTTACGCCTTTAGGTACGCCTTTAACCCACTGCACCACAATTCAGACCCTTAAAAAGATGGTAATTTCGGGGTATTTAAACCCCCCAAAGATCACCCCCTCCCAAGGGCAACTAGAGTTAGTGAATTCTACTCACGTTCTTTCATCAAATTCCTGTTAATATGGGAGAACTCTGTGTCTATGCTTAATGAACAACTTGCCTAAACACGTAAGAGAAGTTATACAACCTTAGAACACTTTCCCACCAGGAGATTCGAACCCTAGCCAGCACAAAAGCCTTACAGCAACTGGCATAACTGGTACACCTTTAACCCACTGCACCACAACTCAGACCCTTAAAAGAGATGGTAATTTCGGGGTATTTAAACCCCCCAAAGATCACCACCTCCCAAGTGTTAGTCAGCTGTCACGGGCTGCTTCCTGGGGGTGGAGGCTTAGTCGAGGACCGGGCCGCGGGGACACTAAAGCCCCGAAATCATCTCAAGATAACGCTACATGTCGTCCTCCAACAGCTTCCCCCACACGCCGATCACGTAGCTTTCTCTCAAACTCTTCACCATGGGCTACACACTTCCTTCTTCATAGGAGGCAACGACGTACGCCAATCCCTGTCGGCTCTTACGACTCAAGTGAGTCTTAAGACCTCTGCCCACGTCACGTATCGTAACATACTGTCGACATCTTATCTTGCCTCATTTTCTTAAGATGCTTGCCCTCTGCTTTCCTTCTCAGTTATCCAGGTACCTCATTAGGGTACCTGGGGTTCATAACAACGCATATAGTAGTAACACCCAGGAAAATAGTCAATAAATTCATTAGGATACTGTTACGACCATGGGCCCAATATTGCTCTGTGACAAACGGGCTCAGGATCGTTTAGTTTAGTTCATTTATTATGCACCCCATACCCATTTTGTGGGCGGTAGTGGAAAGGGTTACAGAGGCACATAATGGGCTCAGGAACTGAACCCCACAATTCATTTAGCTAAATAAGTTACAATCTTGATGAGCTAGTTACAAAATTCAGTACAAGTCGTCACATCATAAATACGGTCGAGATCGACCACAAGTACAGTTTCTAAATTAAGCAACTGACATATGTGGAGAGCTAGTGTCACAATTGATATGTTTGTCCTGCATACACGTATAGCAGTGTTTACATAGGAAATGGGGACCCTTCACTCATATAGGAATTTTAGTGTGATAAGCCCTAAATGTGGGGAGATTATTTGGTGAAAAGGTTTTAATAAATATATTATAAGATAGGGCTAGTCAGCGAGGTTTGGTTAAAGGAGGGTTAGTGTCTTCTTGTAATGCGCCAAGCCATTACTACTATTCAGCACTTGGAAGGGATCAGGATAGGGACTTGGTATATAGAAGCATTTTGATGTTCATAGGGTTAGGTGATCTGCTAATGACGACAGACCACACTTGAATCATTATTTTGTTGGGAACTATTTTCCTGGGGGCCGGGCCTATCCTAACCCCATTAAGTGGTACTGTACTGCTTACCTTGATTATTACCCTAGCTCAGACCCCTTATATAACACATACCATTACATGTTGGCATCTCAAGGCATGACACTGTTGATATGCTTGCAAAGACAGCCTGTAGAAAGCCAGTAGTAGAAATTGATATGGGTGTTTCATTAGCAGTAACCAAGAGAATACTTTAACAAATATCTAATGAAAATCTTACTGACCTAACAAATTTACAAAGACCTGAAAATTGTAACATTAAAATTATGATAAATATCGCGAGGAGACATTCATATAAGAAACTAATTGTGCAGGAACTCGACAATGTGATGTTATAGTGGCCAGAATACGCCTGTGATATAAACGTATCTGGCAGCTTTCTCAAAACCCACAAGTCGAATACACCATGTGTCAACTTTGTGAAAGAGAAAACATGCACTCCCTTGAACAATATATTGTAGAATGTCCCAAATTGACTGACTTTCGCCCTCCTGGGCTGAGTTATGCTGAACTCTGTAAATACTATATAAATACTGAAACACAATTAATTTTTTTTCTTTATTAGGCACCCCACACCCATCCCGTGAGCGGTGGTGTAAAGGGTTACAGAGGCACATAATAGGTTCAGGAACTGAACCCCCTAGTAGTTCGTTTGGCTAAGCAAATAACAATCTTTTGACGCTAGTTACACAACTATTAATGTTTTATATACTCGTACACATATCTATATATACATGTACATATATATACACATATACAATCACCTACACAAATACACACATCAGTAATCTTTTGTATCACAAGTGATTCAACAAGAGGCTCACAAGTCACTATACACGGCACTTTACATCTTTGGTGAGTCACACAGTTACTAGTCTTGCTCCGCACACACCCAACTGGGCGGCAGCTCTACAGTCATGTGCATGCATTACCTACAGTAAGCAAATTTTGGATACTTCGCTAAGATTCCTGACAGTACATCATTATGAATGAAGTACTTACACATTTCTTGGACTACATTGATGGTGTTATCTCTGAATTCCGCGATTTTTTTACATTCTATTATAAAATGATGCAAAGTATGCGAATAGTTCTGCTGACAGAGTTTACATTTAGTCAAATCTATATCAGCGGATGTTAAAAACTCCCAGAGGTACTTGTAGCCGAGCCTAAGCTTAGCAGTGGTAACGTCTAGAAGTCTGCTAACCTTGTTGGATGACCCATAGACGTGCGGTTCTTTTTGCATAATAGAATGATGATAGATGGAGGAACTAGTGTGAATTTCACTTTGCCTCAAGTCTACAAGATTTTGTTGATGTTCCCGGAATATTACTGCCCTCAGGCTGCTCAAAGGCAGTCCAAGATGGTAATCAATTCCCTCTTTATGAGCAAAAGTCTTGGCCAACTCATCAGTTCTATCAAGCATTCGGAGACCAATATGGGAAGGAATCAACAGGAGACAAACTCTAACTCCATCATTGATAACTTCATTATATTTGACAAGCTTCAGAGATAAGCACGTCAGTTATGCCTTGGGGAGCAGAGGGCAGTCAAGGATGACAAGAAGTCACTATTAACGTGTCATCTTTGGATTCATATACGCGCTCTAGTGCAAGGATTATGCCAACCAATTCTGTTTGAAGAGTGGAGGCCCAGTTACTTATACGCGCTCCACACTTATGGGAGAAGGAACCATGAGTGTGAACCATCTCTCTCTCTGTCACAACAACTGCACTTCCAGCTGCACCATGGGACTGGTGCAAGAATCCATCAGAGTAAATAATCAGGGAAAGGGAGCTCTCTCTGACCAAAGCATCAATTTGGCTTAAGGCATTGGAACACTTGATATATTGGACTTGTACCCAAGATTGACTATGTAATGCGTCAGTTATACAATATATGTGATGTAACTATAACCCGAGCTTCTAAAAGCATCTTAATCACCTTCAGCGGTTAAGTGGTTAATAAAGCACTTTTTTCAATAGTAGCTATCTTACCCTGTCAAAGTATTAGCATTATATATATATATATATATATATATATATATATATATATATATATATATATATATATATATATATATATATATATATATATAATAATAATAATAATAATAATAATAATAGAGAGAAATTGCATTTCACCTTTGTAAACGCACATTAATGACATTATGTAAAAAGAAACATCGAACACTGTTTATGTAGGGCAGACGTAAATCTGTGTACTTATTTATTTATGAATGAAGGTTAAATTAGCACTACAATCACCTTTTGTGGTTGATTGTTCAATAAATCACTGAACTATATGTTTCTCCTTGATGGGGGCCACGGGTTGTAGCACAGTGCTGTGAGCCCTCTGGTTGTAGCACAGTGCTGTGAGCCCTCTGGTTGTAGCACAGTGCTGTGAGCCCTCTGGTTGTAGCACAGTGCTGTGAGCCCTCTGGTTGTAGCACAATGCTGTGAGCCCTCTGGTTGTAGCACAGTGCTGTGAGCCCTCTGGTTGTAGCACAGTGCTGTGAGCCCTCTGGTTGTAGCACAGTGCTGTGAGCCCTCTGGTTGTAGCACAGTGCTGTGAGCCCTCTGGTTGTAGCACAGTGCTGTGAGCCCTCTGGTTGTAGCACAGTGCTGTGAGCCCTCTGGTTGTAGCACAGTGCTGTGAGCCCTCTGGTTGTAGCACAGTGCTGTGAGCCCTCTGGTTGTAGCACAGTGCTGTGAGCCCTCTGGTTGTAGCACAGTGCTGTGAGCCCTCTGGTTGTAGCACAGTGCTGGGGAATCTGGAAGTGGCCCCCGAAA